AAATTTTGATATGTAAAATTAAGCATTTATCAGATGGAGAATATAAGGAAGGATCAGGGAATATAAAGAAGTGTTGATAGATGTAGAAAGTAAAGTGTTCTTCTTCAAAGTTTCCATTCTTATTAAAGAATAAATCATAAGTGTTAGAAATAATAGTTTCTTTTAAAGACTAGCTTTATGCTAGACGTGCTCACAGGCACATAGTACATTCTGTGTCCTTGTGCTTTAACCGAAATATCTGTGCTGGATGTGCTCACAGGCGTGTCCCAGCTCACAGCCTGTACCCCTTCCTTTTTGGGAATGTTATTATTTTTCTAAGTCCTTTCATAAGCAACTTCCTATTTTCCTTTGTCTTTCCATTATTTTTACCTATTTAGAAAAGTTTTAAACTAAGATTAGCCAATCAGGTTTTAGTTTAGATTGTAAGGTCTAGTTCCAGCCAATGGAGACAGGACACAGTAGCAGGGACAAACTGCATAAGGAATAAAAATTGCTTCCCTCCTTTGTTCGGATGTGCTCTCACCATTGTTCCATCTGCGATGAGCACCCTTTCTGCAGAAAGTACAAAAAGCCTTGCTGAGATAATTAAGTTTATGTTCAAGGGCTATTTCTTTGCAGCACCAGGGAACACGCGTTCTGTTTCTAAACATTTTTACATGTAACATAGATACCAAAGTTAAGGCATGGAAAATAAAGTTTCTAGGACAAGTGCACAAAGCTTCAATCTTCACCGGGAAGGTAGTGAGCAAAGGGAGAGAGTGCAACTGCAGTCCAAAGAAGGAAAAGGGAAGATAGGGCAGGAGAATAGTTTAAGAAATACTGGCCAAAAATTTATAAATCTAATCAACCACATGAACCTGCATATCTAGGATCTGGATGAAACCCTAGCAGGAGGCCGGGCGCCGTGGCTCACGCCTGTAATCCCAGCACTTTGGGAGGCTGAGGCGGGTGGATCATCTCAGGTTAGAAGTTCGAGACCAGTCTGACCAACATGGTGAAACCCTGTCTCTACTAAAAATACAAAATTAACCAGGCATGGTGATGCACGCCAGTAATCCCAGCTACTTGGGAGGCTGAGACAGGAGAATCGCCTGAAACTGGGAGGCGGAGGTTGCAGTGAGCTGAGATCATGTCATTGCACTCCAGCCTGGGCAACAAGAGTGAAATTCTGTTTCGGGAAAAAAAGAAAGAAAGAAAGAAAAAGAAACCCTAGCAGGATAAATACAAAGAAAAAATCGCACCAAGGCATACTGCTTAAAACAAAAGGTCAAGGGAAAACCTCTTTTGTTTTTTGAGAAGGAATCTCGCTCAGACTTCCCATTTCCACTGCTCTTCCACCTTCCCCACAGATCAGTGTTTCTATCTGGTAACACCTCCCTGAGCTGTAGACCGCCCTTCAGCGTTGCTGGGGATATGGATCTGCTGGCAACAAATCCTCTCAACTTTCACTCAACTGAAAAAAAACCTTATTTCACCTTCATTTTAGAATTATCTAGTTAAGATTCTAAGTTAAGAATTTTTGTCTTGCAGCACCTCGGAAATGTTCTTTCATTATCTTCTCCTTTTATGAGAAGTCGTTTACCCTTCTGATTAATTTTTGCTTTTTTCTTCTCCTCCTGTTGCTCTTAAGATTTTCCCTTAAAAGGGGTGGTGGCTCACGCCTGTAATCCCAGGACTTTGGGAGGCTGAGGCGGGTGGATCATTTGAAGGCCAAGAGTTCCAGACCAGCCTGGCCAACGTGGTGAAACCCCATCTCTACTAAAAATACATGGTGACTGTGCCTATAGTCCCAGCTACTTGGGAGGCTGAGGCATGAGAATCACTTAAACCAGGGAGGCAGAGGTTGCAGTGAGCCAAGATGGCACCACTGCACTCCAGCCTGGGTGACAGAGTGAGACTCCATCTCAAAATAAATAAACAAATGAAAATAAATAAATAAATAAATTAATAGCCAACAGAGGAGAAAGAATGAAGTGCTAAAACATGCTTGACCAGCTCGAGGCAATGTAGGTAAGACAGAACAAAGGTAGGATATAAAATAAATAGCAAGATGGTAGCCCTAACAGAACCATGTCGATAATTACATAAAATGTAAATCAACTAAACACTCAGGAGGCACAGGTTGTCAGGATGGAATTTTTTTTTTTTTTAAAAGAAGGATCCAGTGACACGCTGTTTACAAGAAGACACTTGCAGGGACAAACAGGATGAAAGCAAATGAATGGAGAAACACACACCACGCAAACAGTGACCTTGAAACGCATCCTCCAGATAACCTCAGTTCGTTTTCCTGCGTGCTTGGCAACCCCTGTTTCCTGTTTCCAGTCACACAACCAGGCTGTGTTCCCTAGTGTTCCTTGCAGTCACCCAGCGGTGGTGTAGGTCGGGCCAAGGGACAATGAGTGGAAGGGAGGTGCATCATCACCATTAGGCGTCAGGAAGCCACCAGAAGCCCCTGCCACAGGCTCCCCCATGCTCTCTTCCAGTTCCAAGTGGCTGGAATGGAGACCACGCTCAGGACAGGGGCCACATATGGAAGAGGGAAGAGCCACATGCTAGAAGAAGCTGGGGACCTGGAATCACTGTGGAAGGAGAGGTGTCTGGCCAGGGGCACTCACCCTGTACTTTTATGACAGCAACAAATAAATATGTGTGTGTGCATGCATGTGGGTGTGTGTGTATGTGCGTGTGAGTGTGTATGTGCGTGTGTGTGTAGCCACTGAGATAGCTGTTTCATTTTGCTTTACTTTAATAATACTCTCTACTCATATTTACTTTGCAGCCCACATTGCTTTCTTGAGATATATGATCTGATATTATAATGATGCATTCGTTTGATTGTTTGTCTAGTTGGTTATTTTCTGCTTGCCCTCAATAGAACAGGTGTCTAGAGCACAAGGACTGATCTTTCTGTTCCTTACTGCACCACAGGGCATAAAACAGTACCTGGCACATAGTAAGTGTTTATTAAACACAAGCCCTTTTTCTCTCATACTTGTGAGACCACAACAGTTGGAAGCCAAATCCTTGTGTGCTGACGCAAGGAATGATGCTATGGAGCACCCATAGGCAGGCCGGGGGTGGGGCAGGAGCATCTGTAGACCCTTAGGGAGCTCCATGGACCCCGTTTTCTCATCCTTAGCAAAAATGCCCTCAGAGGCCCAGCAGCCGACCTGTGCCCGGTCCTGGTGATATGGGTGGTTCCTTCTATGGTATTTTATTGCTTACTTTTATTTCTCGCACAGAGATTACTCTGTGGATTACTTCGTTTTTAAAAAAGTTCGAGTCAAATGTAATTTGTTCAATGTATTAAAAATCCCAATTTCAAAACTCCAGTGCTTCCTTGAAACTTTAAATTTGGCGGATAAACCTTGTTCTACCTGTAACAGGCAAATGTTAATAACATCCTTTATGAGGCCTGTGAATAATTCTTGGTCCATCACCGACTTAGTTCATTTAATAGTTTTGAACATTTTGATTGCACTTCCAAAATGAATATGTTTAAATTGATGTTTTAGTACTTCAGCTTTCTACCTTTAGCAAAGCCTTCTGTGTATAAAGTAGTTTTTCAAAATCTAAGAATTTAAACATATGACTGTGATGAACTTAGGGGAGGTCTCTTAAATGTTCCAAAACTGTACACACTAACTCGTTCAATTCCTCGATTTCACACTTTCAATTGGATTATCAGGGTGTCACTGACATAGGCCAAATTCTCCACTCCTCAAAATACCAAATTGGCATAGATTGCTTTATGCTAAAATATTCATACTATGAAATTCAATTTCTCGATCCTGTCTAGACTTTAGAAGAAACGCACACCTACCCAGGAGGCCGTCTCCACTCAGGGAGCCCAGGTGACTAATGGCCAGGGAATCCGGGCAGCCTGCCGTGGGCTTTTAGCTACCAGTTCTGAGGGGTTCACTGTTTCTGTGTGAGTCTTGCCCATGGCACTTTGGTGAGAAGAGGAGGTGCTAGGAGGGAGGCCACATCTCTGGGTTCCGTTTCCAGACACCCCTGGGAGCCTGCCCTTCCCAGCCACGTTCTGCTCACACTGGGTCTGGCATGGTCAGAGTCGAGGCCTTTGAACGGCTTTGTGTTTTCAGGCCCATAGGACGCCAGGGACATAGAGCTGGTCTGCCATGGAGGAGCCTCACAGGGCTTTTTCCACCTGGGGTCATGATTCTAACCCTTCTGACACCTGCACAGGGACCATTGGTGGTGCAGCTGGGGCCACAGCCTGCCACCTGTCCCTCATGGGACTGAACCCGAGGCCAGCGTTTGCTTCAGGATTTTGCTTTCCTCTAAGAGGTGCGGATAACCTCACTTCGAAGCTGGGGCCAATTCACCAATTCCCCTGTTCAGGGGGCAGGTGTCCAGTGGCCCCTGCGAGCAATTGCGTGCCACCCTTCCCCATCCCTGCCCCCGCTCCCACCTGAAGCTGCTTCCGACTCATTCACAGTCCTGCATCTTGGCAGCACTGGCTTGGACGGGAGCCTGATCCAGTGCCAGCGTGCCACTCCTTGGCAAGGCTCCTGGTCTGCTCATACCACTTTTCTCCAGCCAATGTCCTCTAGGGTTGGAACCAACTCCCTGCACGCTGGCCCAGGGAGGTCCCTGGTAATCGTCCTGCGTCCCTCTCCCTCCCCTGGGAATCACCTCAGACCGCAGTGGATGTTCCTAAATTTCTGTGGACTCACAGCAGCTTCTCGGCCAGTGATCTCCTCAAGGGCTGGATTCCACAAGCCCTTCTGTCCTGCTGCGGGCCTCAGGCAGTGTTCCCGCCAAGCTTTCCCTAAAGACACAAACAGGCAGGCCCTTTCCACACCGGCCTTGGGGAGCCTTCTGCTGGGCAGAGCATCCCTGCCAGGGGAAGCCAGGCTCATTAAGTGGGAAGCCTGTGGGGCCTGCGGAAGGCAGCAGCCCTGAGGCTGTCTCCGCCGCCAGTTGGTGCCACCAAGCTGTCAGGAGGGAGTGGCCTTCCCCACTGTGGTTGGGAAATGGAGACAGAGGTTACAGTGGGCGGCTGCAACCCTATAAGAACCACGGAGTTCCTTCAGTGGCAAAGACCAGAGCCACAAAGGCTGAGCCAAGCTGCCGTGGCCATGGGACCTGCTCTCCTCGCCCTCTCCTTCCTGTGGACCACGGCCTTGACTGAGGACACCTGTCCAGGTGAGTCAGTCCCCCCGGGGGTTAGGACCTTAGAGCGATCACACTCCGGGAAGCTGACAGCGGCCACCTGCTAACCACTCACGGCACGCCAGGCCCGGTACTACGCCCTTTGTGAAGGCTCCTGCCTTAGTTTCTCAACAGCTCGTTTTAAGCCTTGCACTTTAAAGAGGAGACAGAGGCTCAAAGAAACAGATGCAGCTAACACAGGGGTTAGGAACAGAGCCCTGGGGTCAAACGGGCCAGGTCCGAAATTCAGAGCATGCAACCGGGGAGTCTCCCTGGGGCTGAATCCTCCACTGAAGGGCTGTCCTCAGAGTCCCACCGGCTGTGTGAGGAGGCGGCGGGCGTACAGGGCGCTGGTGGGGGGTGGGCCTAGTCAGAGTCTGTGCCACGATCGTGTCACTGGAAGACCACCCAGCTGGACATGGCCAGCAAAATCAAGCCCCAGCTCTGCGGGGAATTTGGCCTGAGATGTGCCCGGCACTGGGGACAGGTGGTCCCCACTGTGTCCCTGATGTAGTCCAGTGAGGACAATGTGACCCCAGGGCTCCAGACCTCCTTCCCTGAGCTCCTGGGGGCACTCAGGTGATTCCCAGCAGCTCCACCTGTAGCTCTGCCTTCTGGGGGAGGCTCTGGGCCCCCCTGCATCGTGGCCACGCTGGAGTACATTGCTCTGAACTCAGAACCCGGGATGGCTTCCAAAAACCCTGGTGGGCCCCATGGCCTGAGTCTGCTCGTGGTGGACCAGGGGACCAGGGCAATGATGGGTTCCATGGAGAAAGGCCCCGGGTGGGGCTAGGAAGAAAATGCACACCACAGAGGCCCTTCGCTGGTTATGTTATGAGTGAGTTAACTTTTTTCCCCCAAACATGTCTTATTTTCCAGATTATCCAACATTACCAAGCATTCTTTTTTAATGAGAAAAATTAAGCAAATAAAAAAGTGGTCTACACTTGCTCTGACCAGTGAGCCAGGGGTGAGGACAGATTAAAAAAAAATCCACCAAGCAGTGGCAGCTGCCGTGTCTCCTGTGAGAGCGCTGCTCTGTTCCCCAGTCTCTAAGAGCGCTCTTAGCAGGGCATATTGATTTCATAATCAACAATATGAAAAATATTTTTTCAAGGAAGTAGAAAACCCTCAGTTTGGCTCCAGCTGTGCCACACCTGGCTCTGTGTCCTTGGACCCCACACTGCCCCTCTCCAGAGGACCTAGAAGGCCCCTTCCAGCCCAGTAATTCCACAACCACATTCCCAACCATCCCAGTAATTCCACAACCACATTCCCAAGGTCTGGGAGGGAAAATGCTTTGTCAGTCTCAATTCCCCAAGTTTCTTAGAAACATTGATTGTCATTGGTTACTGCAAGAGCCCACTGTTTATTAAGCTCTTTCTAAATGCCACGAATTCCACTAAGAGATTAAAATGCACATTCTCTAATCCAGCCCTGGCCACAACCTTGTTATTATCCCCACTTGGTAGCCCAGGGCACAAAGCTCAGAGGAGTTAAGTGACTTGCCCCAGGACACACAGCACTGAGGAGATGAGGCTCCCCTAGGTAGGGGTGGCCTCCAACGCCAGGACTCTGCCCCCCATCACGTCTCCGCCTCACCAGTGCCCGAGGGGTGAGGACAGACCAAGGCCCCAGCAGAGCTGAAAACCTCACTTTCCAACCACTGTTGGGCCAGGCACTGAGTGGGCACCTGTGTTTCTCTACAGAGGTGAAAGTGGTGGGCCTGGAGGGCTCTGACAAGCTCACCATTCTCCGAGGTTGTCCGGGGCTGCCCGGGACCCCAGGGCCAAAGGGAGAGGCAGGCGCCAATGGAAAGGGAGGTAGGTGCGGGCCGGGTGGGGAGGCCAGGCATGGCGGGGGGCACTGGCTCTTGCTCTTTTTGAAACTAGATGCTGAGTTGAGCAACACCCCCACCATGATTCCTAGATCGAGAGCCTGGGTCGGGCCCCTGTTAGAGCCAGGAACAGAGCTGACTCCCAGGGCCCAACAGGGTTCTGAAATGGAGGCAGTGTCTTTCCTAACTACTTCATGAGCTCACATTTGGACACGCTTCTGTAGCTCTGTCTCCTAGCCCTTGATCCAGTTCCAGCTTTGCTCGGCCACTGGCATGACTTCTAAGCTCTATGTCCCTCCACCTTCTCACCTGAAAATTGAGGTGACCGCTTTCTTCTGCACCTGCCTCATATGGGAAAACTGAGGCTCAAAAAGGTCAGGGACTTTCCTACTTGACAAACCAGTAAGGCGTGGGGATGGGACTTGGACCAGTCTACTTCGGGGCACAGAGGGTGCCCGAATCCTGAGCCCTGAGCTCTGCATGCGGGTCTGCAGGGAACGTGGGAGAACCAACAGCAGGCACCTGCCTTGGGTGGTTTTTGGTACCCCCTAAGCATCGCGTAAGGCAGATGTGCATAAAAGCTTGGAAAGGGCGCTGCCTTAGAGGGTGAGCTCCCCATGCCTGGAGGCATTCAAGGTGATGCCTGCGGAGCACTTGGCGGGGATGTCCCAATGTAGATGGGACAAGCTCAAATGTCCCCATGACTTGGACTTTCGCTGACGTGTCCAGGCTTCCGTGTGAGTGTCCAGGGCCAGGTCCTCTGTGCCCACTCCACAGGCTGGACCTGAGAGTGGGGTCTCTATCCCCTGTTGAGGGAACGCTGGGGAGGAAGCCATTCCCTGGCGGGAGAAGAATCAAGTCTGGCTCGGACGTCCCTTGAACCAGGCTTCTACCAGTGGGCATGGCTGGCCAGTATACCCTAAAGCAAGAACCAGTCCCCACACACTCTCGCCAGCCACCGGGATCAGCGAATGGACTGGGGGCTGCCTCTCGGCTGGCATCGGGGAAAGGGAGGGTCCCCTTTCTGGTCGGAACTGCGTGGAGGGCTGTGTAACACCACAGGAGTTCAGGCGCACGGTGGAACCGGATCCTCCCTGGCAGCAGCGGCCGCATGTGGGGCTCACCCTCTCCGTGTGGGGATGTGGTAGGATGAGGCTCTCGGAGGATGCATTCCTTGTTCCAGAACATGGTCCCTTGCTAGACAGTTGAGCTCTGTGACGGTGACTTGGGCCCAGGCTTATGGTCAACAAAGGGTGAAACCTAAGATGCTCCCAAGGCACAAACAGGAGCCAGGAGCACCTTGCCTTGAGCCCAAGGTGGGGTGCAGACCCCTCCATCACTCCCTCACCTCCGTCTGCGGTCACCCCCCGGCTAAGTCCACGGCTCTCAATTCTGAGGGTTCCTGGAACCAGAACGGGTTCAAGGCAGAGTTGGGGAGGGTCAGGACTTTATCACTTGGGGCAAAGATTTCCAGGGAGAATTGTTTAGGTTGCATTTTTCTCAATGATATGTCTTTGGAATTTTCAGGAGAACGCGGTGTCCCTGGAGCCCCTGGAAAGGCGGGACCAGTGGGACCCAAAGGTAACCAGGGGGCAGAGAGCGAGGAGGCCTTGAGCAGGGACCTTGGAGCTGTGTATAATGAAATGAGGGAGGGCGAGACAGAGACATAGACACAAAGAGACAGGGTGGGGAGACAGCAACAGAGAAAGACAGAGGAAGGCAGACAGGGGCCCTGTCATATTCCAGGCCTCGGGGCCCCTCCCCAACATTGAGACCTGAGCATTGTGATGCCTCAGTGAGCCTGCAGGGCTGGGGAGATGCAGTGCCCCAGGCCAGGAGCCCACCCTGGGGCCAGCCTCTCCGCGGCCCACATGTCCAGGGCCAAAAGCTCATTCTCCTGCATCTTCCTCCAGGAGACCGAGGAGAGAAGGGGATGCGTGGAGAGAAAGGTGAGCCACCCGTGGACCCAGGCAGGTGCCTCTGCAGCCTTTTTCCAGGGGAGGGGTCTCGGAGGCCTCAGTCCACCCACCCACCGCTCTCGTCCCTGTCAATCTGGGCTGTGGGTAGGGAGGGGCGGAAGGAACCTGGTGGGCTTTGCTGTCAGAATCCGTGAGGGCTCAAACCCCAGTGTCTACAGCAGTCACTGCCAGTGGCCAGCAGGACCACATCAGTGTGTAGATGGTGACACTTTAATATTTCAATTTCTGTCTTACTTATGCTTATTTATTCAAAAATTGTAAAAGTTTAAAAAAGCCGAATGTGGAACACTCTAAGTTGCAGTCCCACACTCTGCCTACAAAAGCAAATGAGAAGCAGAGCCGGGGGCTGAGGGTCCGCCGATATCTGTGTCCCAAGAAACAGAGTCCAGGGCGGAGGCAGGGCAGGCTTGGAGCGACCCTGCCAGGCTTGAACAGTTGTTCTGCTGTTATTAGTGGTGAAGGCTCCACTAGGGGTCCAGTTAGTCCAGCAGGACCTGCAGTGCCTGCCACAGCCCGCGAAGCTCCCGCTGCACAGCAGGGGCCTACGGACAACCATGTGGCCGGTGCCTCTGGGGAAGCAGAGTGTGGCCACCCTCCCCTAGGCCTGTGCCACGTGTCCTGGAGACATCAGAGGAGCTGCCTTTGCCCATTCTCTATTCTGTGCTCAGGGAGCCACTGGGGCTGACTGGGACGAGGGTTCTGATGCTCTGATTTCAAGCTTATGACGAGTGTCTCCTCTCCCCACACAGGAGACGCTGGGCAGTCTCAGTCTTGTGCGACGGGTGACTGATCACACCCTGACCTCGGTACCCAAGCCTTGCCCCGACCTCTAGGGCCAGCTGCACGCGTTCACGCCACAGACTCTAAGGAAGAACCGTCTGTACCTATCATCCCCCTCAATCACTCGAGTAATGGGCAGCGATCGCCTGAATCCCTTCCATGACAACCCCGGCTCCACTATTATAATCTACCCCAGAAGGCCGGGTGCCCAGGAGCCAAAGGTGGGGGAGACACTGGGAGGTGGGAGGGTCAGGCCGACTGGGCGTGGCCATCACAGCTGCATGGCCCTGGGAGCCATGTCCCTGTCTAGGCTTCGGAGTCCTGCTCTGTCCGCACAGAAGCCTGTGGTCCTGCTCCTCCCTGCCAGGTCTCCCTCCCACTGCCCCTGCCCTGCCCAGGGGCCCCATCCTGCAGCCATTCCCTGGGTTCCCTTCCCAGGTCCACGCACCTGCAAGGACCTACTAGACCGAGGGCACTTCCTGAGTGGCTGGTACACCATCTACCTGACCAACTGCCGGCCGCTGGCTGTACTCTGTGACATGGACATGGACGGAGGGGGCTGGACCGTGAGTGTGGGGCTGAGGGGCCCTGGGCAGAGGCGGTCAGCCTGGGAGACCTGGATTCCAGGCTGCACACCTGGCCGGAGAACACACTCTGGAATTCTCTATTCCCCTGGTCGGGGACAGAGATGATGGGGGAGGTGACCCGTGGGTAAAAGTCCAGGCCGTGGGGGAGGCTGGGAGGGGCCTGGTGTTCTCCTGCTGTGTGCCTTGGGGCTTGTTGCCTCCCCCTCTCTGAGCCCCCATTTCCTCCTTCATCCCGTGGGGTCTGTGAGGAGACCAGGTGGGCGTGCTGGGGACCCCAGCCTGCGACGCTCTGCCAACTACAAATGCTGCTCCTCTGGAGGGCGGGTCCCCCGTGCTGTGGGACGTCGGTCTGTCCCCCTGGCTCCCGTACCCTGGCTCCTCCACAGGTTTTCCAGCGGAGGGTGGACGGCTCCGTGGACTTCTACCGGGACTGGGCCGCGTACAAGCGGGGCTTCGGCAGTCGGCTGGGGGAGTTCTGGCTGGGGAACGACAACATCCACGCCCTGACCGCCCAGGGTAGGGCCGCTGCTGGGGCTTGGGGGTCAGGGGGCCCTGAATGGGGGTGCCCCTGCCCCTTAGGCCTGGACTGCCTGGAACATAAGCGCCTCTTAGCCCACAGGGGATTGGGCCCTGAGCACACTCAGGGTGGCACTGGGACCTCCGAGGGCTGCGTCCCCTGCCGCAGGCTGTGGCGGCATCAGGACAGGAGAGGGTAGAGCTCTGGGCTGAAGGCCTCTTCAGGTCTTGGCCCCACTGGCATCTTAGACCCTGAGCATGCAGAGAAAGAGAGAGACCATCGGGGCTTGGCCCAACCCCCAGCCCTAACTTCACTTCCCACTGTCTCCCCTTCCTAAAGCTGCTGTCTCAGGGGCAGAGGGAGGTTCCTCTCTGGGCCCCCTCTCATTCCTCCGGCCAGGCCACAGCCCTCAGCAGGAGCGAGGACAGCATCTTCATCCTCCTGCCACCAGCTCCAGCGTATCAGCTGGTCCCTGATCCCGGGGAAACTGGAAAATGGTCCCTTTCCTCTGCAGGAGCCCATTCCGAGCTCCTGAGCCACCTCCTCGTGTTTGCTGTGACCTTTCCACGTAAAGGAAGGACTGCAGTACTTTCCCACAGTGAGGATCGGTGACCTCACAGCCCATTCCAGGGAAATGCACGGTTCCTCGATGAAGTGAAGTGATATTTGTAGGAGGGGGGAAACTCCAGGTTCAGCGGGTGGACCTGAGGGAGTAGGTCCTCCCAATCCCTCCTACCACAGACGACTTTCTGCATGAACCTGAGGAAACTTTCCGTGGATCACAAGTTCAGGCATCTGAAAACACTCCAATTCCCACCTCCGGTTCCTAGAGGCAGAAGGGCCCTTGGGCTGGGAGCTTGAAACCTTTCTCCTACAGGAACCAGCGAGCTCCGTGTAGACCTGGTGGATTTTGAGGGCAATCACCAATTTGCTAAGTACAGATCATTCAAGGTGGCCAGTGAGGCGGAGAAGTACAAGCTGGTCCTGGGGACCTTTGTGGAGGGCAGCGCGGGTGAGTGTCTGTGCGGGCTGAGTGGCCTGGGCCTCTGAGGGGGGCTGGGGAAGGGGAGACAGCGTGCTCAGCATCTGGCTATGCCTCTGCTGTGTGATGTTGGGGGGTGACTTAACCTGTCCAACCCACAAACCCACAATCTGTTCATCCGTCAATTCACCCAGTTTATTGTACTTATGAAAATTATGATCCACATGTCATAAAAAGTATAGTACATAGTGGCTATGATTATTTGCTACCATTATTGATGAAAAATGGGGAAGATGATAAGTCTATTTCTACAGAGACTGAATCCCTACACTCTGCCGGAAGTCACTTTTCCCCTCTGCTGTCCCACCCAGAGCCAGGCGGTCTCCAAGTGTAGGAATGCCTGTTAGCTGGCTGAGCAGACCAGGCGAGGAGATGCCAAAGCTGCCGTCCCAGCAGAGCGCATGTTCCCTGGGTGGTGCCCTTTGGAGTTGTGCAGTGCACAACATGGGCTCCTGGCCATGGCAGCTCTGCACTGGACCTAGGATCCAGGCTCCCTGGCACTTCATGGAAAATGCCCTACTTTTCCCTCTGAGCAGGTGATTCTCTGACATACCACAACAACTACCCCTTCTCCACCAAAGACCGAGACAACGACCAAGATGCTAAAAACTGTGCTGTGCGCTATCAGGGAGCATGGTGGTATGCCACCTGTCACCTGTCAAACCTGAATGGTGGCTACCTCGGGGGGGCCCATGACAGCTTTGCAAATGGCATCAACTGGAATTCGGGGAAAGGGTACAACTACAGCTACAAGGTGTCGGAGATGAAGGTGCGGCCCACCTAGCCCGGCACTGAGGTCAGAGGGTCTCTCCACGCACCCTGGCTGGAGGAGCGCATCCCTCAGCCCTCACCAAGAGGGCAACGTGGGGATCGTGGCCCCCATCCTCATGGAAAGAGGGAGCTCCCACCAGTCCCTTGTAGGCATGGCCCACAGAGCTTTGCGCCCAGTGCCAGCGTCCAGCCCCCTGCCTCCCGTCTGCAAGGTTAGGCGAAGCCCCAGTGTGCCTCCCTCACTGCAGCTGTCAGTGCTTGCTTGCCTCACAGGCGATCATGGAATGCCATGGTTATTTGCCCTGCCCTGACCACCGGCCATGCCACTGTGCTGCTCATCCGTCCTTGCTTCCCTGCGACTTGGCCCTGTGGGTGGATCAGATGCCCTAGGGCTGAGGGGGTTTCCCATTGGCTAAGACAAAGCAGGGCCGCCCTGCCTGTTGGTGAATAAAGTTTTATCGGCACAGCCATTCCCATGGCTTCCATATTGTCTCTGGTTGGTTTCTATCATCTCTGGCAGTTTCCAAATGCCAGGCAGAATAGAGTAGTTGGGACAGAGGCCGTATGACTGACAACTCCTAAATTGTGTGTTAATCAGTCCCTTACAGAGAGTGTTTGCTGACCCCTGCACTCACAGCCACCTGACCCCGGCTGCCTGGCCCCTGCTCTGCCCACTTGGCCCCCCTGCCGGGGCTTCCTGCCACCTGCCTCCTAGGGTCCCCTGTTGTACCAAAGGTGATTGCGTGCGCGTGAATCCCTCATCAAGAATGAAGCAAAGATTTGAAGGAGGCAAGTGGGTGAGACGGATCTGAGACCACGGGAGAGGGAAAGGTCCTCCTCCCTCAAGCATTTCCTCTTGGAAGTAGCCGGAAGGCTGAGCCCACAAAACCGTGGGTTGCATAAGGCCTGACACCACCTGTTTTTCTCCTAGTCAGCCAAGCAGGCCCTCTCCTGGGACCAGCTGCCCTAAGCCCAGACCTAGCAGAGGATGGCGGGTTCTCCCTAGCCTCAGTCTGTCTCTCCTGGAGGGGGCTCAGACCCCTGCAGGCTCCCGCCCCCACCTCTGGAACTCAGGGCCCTCTCTGGGCCCCTGGCTTTGCTTTTGCTTCTGTTAGTCTCTCCCAGGCTTCCTTCTGCCTTTTCTCTGCTCCACTCAACTCGCCAGGTGGAAATGCTGGCAGGCCCAGTATGGCTGCTGTACCGATGACTCTTCTCAACCTGTGACCTACAGGGACCCATAAGCCTCTGGCAGAGCCCTTGAGGGGCTGAGGCCCGCAGGGGAGGGTGTGCGGAGCATGGAGGAGCCTTGGCTCCTGCTCTCAGGTGCTCCTGGTGCAGGTGAGGGCTATGTGATCATGGAACAGGCCCCTCAGATGGGCACCGCACTGTTCCTGAGCTCCCACTGTCTGCAAGCACCCATAGACTGCATAAGGGGAACAGACAGCTGGAGGAGGTGGGGGGCCCACAAATTCCTGTTGTTAGGGGGCTTCACATGGGGTAGGTTTGCCCCATGCCTGGGAGGATGAATCGGATCTGACTCTGGTGGTCCTTCTGTCTACTCTTGGACTCCCCCGCGGACAGCCCCTGGACTAGGCAGGGTTCCTCTGCCCAAGGGATATCCTGGCCTGAAGGAGTTAATGTGGAGGTGGCTGGTGGCACCTGGCAAACCCCCTGCCGTGGGACACTGGATGCCGGCTTCCCCGAGTTCTTCTGGCCGCAGCTCCGTGTGGGAGACAGCGGCTGCCAGCACATTGTCCCCGCTGAGGCAGCAGGTCTTGCAGCCCCATGGCTGTGACTCCGTTGCCTGGAGCCTTGTCTGCCCGGCCCTAGTGTGGGTGCAGGGGTCCGTGGCTCACTGGGAGGGCTGAGTATAGACCTGGGAATGGCAAGGGCCAGGGGGTGCCCAGAAATTCTCAGCCCCAGCCTTCACCCTGAGGGTCCTGACGCCTGCCACTCCCTGCCCCTCCACTACCTGGCCTCTGAGTTCAGCTGCGCCCCTGGGGGGGCCGAGCCCACGTTACCTCCGTGGAGGGAGGCCGTGCCTGAGTGGCAACAATGAGTGTTCTCGGGGGTGCCCTGGGTGCCTCCTGTACTGAGCCCCAAGCAGCTACGGTGAACAAGGGAGACCCCACCCTGAGCACAGAGCCCGGCCCCGTTGGGGGACAGCCAATCCACCACTGACCGCACAGCCGCTGCGCTGTGATAAAGGAAGGGGGACTCGGAGAGCATGGTGTGAGCCCCCAGACTCTTGAGTCATCACAGATGCTCCCAGGGGAGGGGAGATGACACTGAGCCCCAGAGGAGGGAGAGGTATCAGGATGAAGGTGGGGTGGGAGGGAGGCGGGAGGGAAGCTGGCAGAAGGCAGCTTGTGCGCTTGGAGCCTCCTCCCTTAAGTGGGTCAGGATCCTCACTGCACAGGTCTCCTCCAGCACCAGAACTGGGCTCGGTGGTGCCCTCTCTCCATTCCCCACCCAAAGGCGCTGCCCTCTGACCCCGGAGCCAGGCGACCCCGTTCCCAATGCGGCCAACATGGTTTTTAGTTTCCTTGCCCAAAGCGTGTTTTGTTTTCTAATACGCCTTGTATTTTTATGTATTTATTTGAGCACTACGAAAGACCCTGGGTTTTATTACGGTTGCCACTCTTCTATAATTTACTCAGAACGTGTGATCCGAATCAGGCTGGACAATATTCCTTGTCCAACCCGGTGTCCAGCGCTGAGGACTGGTGGAATGGGTTGTCTCTGCTATGGATTCCCACAGCTTGGCCACTGAGTGTGGTTTTCGTGGCTTGTGGTTTCTGGGATTGCTGACCGCATCCTGGTCTGGGGGCCACTGTCTGGGCCATCCCTGGGTCCTCCTGCTCGGCAGTTTGATGGGGGGGGCACATGCCTGGCATCTTGAGGGTCCCACTCGCCAGGTCACCTCATCATCCTGACCAAGAAAAGGGCAGGAAGTAGAGAGGAGTGGGGCTGGGCTGTGTTGCCGCTGCGTGCTCATTCCCCTGTGACCGCATGCTGAGCCCACACCCAGTCCTCTGTTCTTCGCCTCTCTCTGGCTCCGGGGCCCCAGACCCTCTGGGACCAGGGAGCTATGCAGAGTGGGCACTGGGCTCCCTGCCCGGCCCCTCCCGAGCTCCTTCTGGAACCCAGTGCCGAGAGGGAGGATGTCGGTCTGTGGGCAGGTGGAGGACTGTGATGGGCAGGAGTCCTGGGTGCCCCGTGCCCGAGATGAAAGGCCCCCGAGAACCATCAGAAAGCTTATGCTCTGGGTCCCGTAGGAGTTTCTTTTCTAAGAGCCTACAGGGGTGTACTTGACGTTGAATAAGCTACATGGCTTTGAAGTGTACAACTTGAGTCGCTTGACAGAGGATGCACCCGTGAAACCAGCACCACAGTTGAGACAAGGAACAGATCTATCACCCCCAGACGCTTCCTCATTGCAATTCCAGCCCCATCCGTCCCCACTCGTTGTGTCCCCAGGCAATGTCTGCACTTGTCTCTGTCACTACAGCTTGTTTTCCTAAGACATTTTATGAGTGAAATCATATCCTATCCACTCTCTGCTGCCTGTCTTCCTCTCCTCGGCAGACCTATTTTAAGGGTCATGATGTTGTGCTGCGCACAGCGGTTCGTTTCCTTTCACTGCAGAGTCATACTCCATGTGTGGATGGACCACAGCTGTGTATCCGTTCAGCAGAGTCACACTCCATGTGTGGATGGACCACAGCTGTGTATCCGTTCAGCGGAGTCATACTCTGTGTGTGGATGGACCACAGCTGTGTATCCATTCCGGTATTGATGGACATTTAGGTTTCTTCCAGCTGGGGCCACGACAAACCGAGCTGCTATGAACCTCTGTGCACAGGTCTTTGTGTAGATATATGGTTTCATTTCTCCTGGGTTAATATCCAGGCTTGGAAATTGTTGGATTGTCCAGTAGGTATATTAGTCCGTTCTCACACTGCTCATAAAGACATACCCAAGACAGAGTAATTTATAAAGGAAAGAGGTTTAGTGGACTCACAGTTCCACATGACTGGGGAGACCTCGCAATCATGGCAGAAGACAAAGGGGGAACAAAGTCACGTCTTGCCTGGCAGCAGGCAAGAGAGAGCGTGTGCAGGGAAACTCCCCTTTATAAAACTATCAGATCTTGTGAGACTTGTTCACCATCAGGAGAACAGCACAAGAAAGACCCGCCCTCGTGATTCAATTACCTCCCACCATGTCCTTCCCACATGGGAATTATGGGAGCTACAATTTGAGATTTGGGTGGGGATACAGCCAAACCATATCAGCAGGTATGTTTTTAGCTTTTTGTGAAATTGCAGAGCAGTTTTCCAAAAAGGCTGCCCTGCTTCGTCCAGCAGTGCAAGAGATGCTGGTCTTCCACATCCTTGTCCGCACTGGGTATCGTCAGTCTTTTCAGGTTGAGCCATTTTCACAGGGGTGTGGTGACGTCTCATCACGTTTTGTTTCCATTTTCCTTATGACTAATGATGTCGAGCATCTTTTCATAGGCTTATTTGCTTTATATCCATAGATCTTCTTCAGTGAAGCATCCTTTCACATCGTGTGCCTGTTTTCCTAATTCGAGGGTTAGTTTTGTTTTTACTGAGTTTGAAGAGTTCTCTCTGTGTTCTGAGTACTACTCCTTTATCAACTGTATGTGATGCATGAGAGCCTATTGCTGCTGTAAGATAATTACCACAAGCTTAGAGGTTTACAATCACACAAAATTATTATTTTACAGTTGTGGAAGTTATAAACCTAAAATCAAGTTGTTGATAGGGCTGGGTTCCTTCCGGAGGCTTCTGGGGAGAATCTGCTTCATTGACTTTCCCAGCTTTTAGAGACTGCTGCATGATAACTCATGGCCCCTCCCTTCATCTGCAAAGAGTGTGGCTCCAACCTTGGCTTCTGTCCTCATTGCCTCCTTTTCCTCCTTGACCCTAACTCTACTGTTCCCCATTTAGAAGGACCCTTGGGATTACATCAGGCCCACTCAGAGAAGCCAGGATCATCTCCCCGGGTCACGACCCTTCATCTCATCTGCATTTTGCCTTGTATGGTCAATGGGCTTTGGGGTCATTCTTCAGCCTGCAACATACGATTTGCAAATATATTCTCTGAGTCTGTGGCTAGGAAGAGTCGATGATGTTAAGCTGCCTATTCTCCTGAAATTGATCTGCACATGCAATGCAGTCTAAATGAAAATCCCAGCAGCCCTGTTTTTGTACAAATCGAAGCTGATTCTTCAATTTGTACAAAAGTAGGGCTACTAGGATTTTCATTTGAACTGTGGCTTTCTTTTTATTCCCTTAACACAGCCTTTCAAATGGCAGAACTTTTTTTTTTCTTGAGATAGGATATTGCTCTGTCACCCAGGCTGGAGTGCTGTGGCCCAATCTTGGTTCACTGTAACCTCCACC